ATATTTACAACTCTCCCCTAACCTACAACCTTAATACTCGACCTCCATAATTCCCTGTCAAGGGCCATGTCCTCAGTAATCCTAAGTCGCGTCATGTCCTGTCTGATCACCTCTCCCCAATACTTCTTAGGTCGTCCTCTACCTCTCCGCGTGCATACATCATGGCCTAATATTTTTTTAGTGAAAGGATAATGCAGCAGTCAAATGTAGCTAGGCATAAGATTAAAATCAGCTGTCCTTATTAAAAAAAAAAGATTATAATCAGCTGCATCTACTGAGAGTCTGAGACTATTGTACAATAACTAAAGCTTAAATCAAGAAAAAACCGGCAATGTCATAAATCTGTAAAAATAGATTTACTTGATAATTGCATTTTTATTATTGATGGATTTTCATTAGTGTATTCAGAATTTACATTATTTCACAGTTTGTGTGGATTTATGTCACTTGTATTTATTCGAGTTTAGTAGAGACTTTTGAGCTTAATCAAATGGTGACTCAAGCACCTGAAGGCAGCTGAAGAGAAATTCCAGCTAAGGTTCAAAAATTTCAGCATCTTGGCTCTAGTATTGGGTGCCTAAGCACGGGCAGGCGACTCTTTTTTTTTTTTTGAAAAGGTAATATGTTTGTATTGAATATTAAAATGGTTACACTAATAGCGTAACCTTCTGATAATTACAATGGGGAAACCAGAAGAGAGGCCTAAGATTCTATAAGACTCACAATTGATCTAAAACATCAAAAATTAACTCACTCTCTTCTAGATATTCCTGTTTACACCAAAAATAAAAGAGCATCAAACAGCTCATCTTCAGTTTTTGTAGGGGCAGGCGACTCTGAGCAACAACTATTTTTATATGGTAATGGTAGAACTCCCCCCCCCCCNTTTTGAGAATTTGCGTGCCATTTTTTTATAGTTATTTGTAGTTTTTGTCTTTGATTGTTTATTTTTATTAATTAAAAATACAAAAAATATGTTGCGTGTAAATTTAGGATCTTATTCTACTATTAGGAATTAATTAAATCGTATTTGGTTTTTAAATGAATGAAAATCACAAAAAGTATTTTTTTTTTGGTAATTTTGTCATTTATTGTTTAATGGTTGATTTTGTTTAATTGATGTTTGATCTTGTGTGAGTCAATTAATATCTTTTAATATGATTGTACTTTTACAACTTATTTTAGGATTTTTGGTAGATTAGTATTTAGAAAAGGAATTAAAAGAAGAAAAGAAATGAGTTTAAAATTGGATGAAATCGGAATTGGGCCATTTGAATTGGACCCAAAATTAGGCCCAAAGCNGATATGATTGTAGTTTTACAACTTATTCTAGGATTTTTGGTAGATTAGTATTTAGAAAAGGAATTAAAAGAAGAAAAGAAATGAGTTAAAATTGGACAAATCGGAATCGGACCAGGAAGCACCAATGTACCATTAATCTAATGCATTTGTTTAAATAAAGTTGGGAACAAAAGATAATGGTATGGGGGAGGTTTTGTTGGGGAGTGATTAAATAAATGTTGTCCATAATCTTTGAATTAAAAATAGGATAGGACAAGTGTAGTGGGGAACAAAACATACAATAGTGGGCAAAAGGAGGAGGGGGCAGAATATTTTTCTGATTTTAGTTTTTGGAGTGCTCTTAAGAGCTGGAGTGCGGGATCTTTTGGATATGTACAGAGCCACTGATAGGCAGCAAGGAGAGAGGTTAGAACCTAAGGGAGCCTATCTTGGAACTAAAAGAGAGAGCTCATTCCTGGACTTCAATCCTAGGTAGACAATAAACAAAAAACCTCTGTTGCTCCATTGAAGCTGAAAATTTCTGCTTTTCTTCACCTTTTCTGTTTGAGATTAGCATTAACTGTTATTGTTCTATTGAAACTTAGGCTTCTTTCTTTGAGTGTCCGAAAATCAGGAACTACTGTTTCACTTTTGTTTCGGATTCACTTGTTTTCTGCCTGTGATTAGCATTGGTATTTCCGGGTCTCAACTGAGTCTCCCGAGTCTGTTTTGGTGGATATTGGTATTGTTTTCATTGGTTTATTTCTGTTCGTTCACTGGGATTTATGCTGCCTGGTTGATACTGTTGCTGTTGCTGCTGTTATTTGCGGGTTACTGCTGCCATTTGTTGTTGCTGATCTTCTACTTTCTTCTTCTTCTTGTTGTGTTTCAAGATCCAGGTACATATTTCGAATCACCTTGATGTAACTTGAATTGAAGTTTGAAACGGGATTATGCAGCAAATCTGCACATTTGGATGCTATTTGTCGTCTTTAATTCTATAGATGTCAAATGAAGTAGATTTATCTAATATTAGCTCTGTTTTTATATTTTGTATGAATATTGGAAACGTGACTGTATAATTGAAATTGTTTTAGGTGTGTAGATTTTTGTGACAGAAGGTTAAATTATGTAGACAGTTCATAATGTCATCCCGTAGTTGGTAATTTGAAAAATAAGCATGTCAAATGTTGACTCCAATTAGTAAAGTAGGATATTAAGTTAGTAATTTCGCAGAATCAGTAAGTCTGCCGTATTTGAAGTTTGATTCGATGTAGTAAGGCTAAGGTCATTAACTTAATAGGCATGAGTTGATTTTGAACAAGGTTTGTTAGAGTTCCTTTAAATGTAATAGATTTCCAAAGTGTAGATTAAGTTTAACAACCTTCGAATGTTTTGGTAGTCAAGGTTGGTTCATTTTCAAATAGTTTTAAAAAAAATAATTAGTTCCAATGGTTCAATTCGTCTAATAATGTGAAGTCTAAATTAGTTAAAGAATAATTTGTTTGTTTTGACGAATAGCGTTTGTCAATTCCATAATTTATTTATAATTTTATTTTTTTTGGTAATGTTCAATTATAGAATAAGGCACAAAACAATTTTCTTTTGAGCAAATTCGATCGCAATTTTGCGTTAGCATCTTTGTAATCTAATAATTGATAAGAGACCCGAACTTGCCAAGCATGTGATTTAATTAGCACATATTTTCTTCTTTCATTTTTGAGACGAACGAAAAATAGAAAATGTAGTCATTCTAAGATTATCCTTTTAAAATAATGAGACGAGCCTCGCAAAAATAAAAATGCAAATTGCGGGACCCTCAATAATTGGTCATAATAAATACTTAGAATTTGGGATGGGCCGTTTAGCGAATTTCACTGTCTTCCTCAAAGATAATAACGCGTTAGACTTTTTAGGCGCGATTTTAATTAATTTACATCCTGGATGCAGCAATCAAATGGACGGCTGAGTGTCAAGAGGCTTTTGACAAGATCAAAGAATATCTTTCAAATCCTCCAGTTTTGGTCCCGCCAGAGCCAGAGAGACCCCTGTTCTTGTATCTGACGGTCTTGGAGAATTCTTTCGGTTGTGTCCTTGGACAACATGACATAACTGGAAAGAGAGAGCAGGCGACCTATTACTTAAGCAAGAAGTTCACCGGTTATGAGGTCAAATACACTTTGTTGGAAAGAACGTGTTGTGCTTTGACATGGGTCGCTCAGAAATTGAGACATTATCTCCAAGCTCATACTACTTACCTCATAACCAGGTTGGATCCTTTGAAGTACATATTCCAGAAACCGATGCCTACTGGGAGATTAGCAAAGTGGCAAATCTTGCTTACTGAATTCGACATAGTCTATGTCACTCGCACGGCGATGAAAGCCCAGGCATTGGCGGATCACTTGGCTGAGAACCCAGTTGATGATGAGTACCAACCATTGAGTACTTATTTTCCAGATGAAGAGATAAACACCATAGGAGTAGTCTCGGAAGACGCTCATGCTTGGAAGATGTTCTTTGATGGGGCTGTAAACGCCAAAGGTGTAGGAATTGGGGCAATCTTGATCTCACCCACTGGTCAACACTATCCGGCTACAGCTAGGCTTCGTTTCTTTTGCACGAACAATACAGCTGAATATGAAGCCTGCATCATGGGCATGAATATGGCGATCGATCAAGATGTTGAAGATTTGTTGATTATGGGGGATTCTGATCTGATTATCCGGCAAGTCCAGGGTGAATGGGAAACTCGAGATGTCAAGCTTATTCCTTACCGGCAGCACGTGGAGGATCTCGGCAAGCGATTCAAATCAATAGAGTTCAGGTATATCCCACGGTGTCACAATGAACTAGCCGATGCACTTGTCACCTTAGCTTCAATGTTACTGTAATGTAATCGAGGTAGGACCAAGTACCCAGCCATGGTACCATGATGTTAAGAGGTTCTTGAAGACACATACCCCGAACATGCTACCGGAGATCAAAAGAGAACTATTAGGCGGCATGCGAGTGGATT